AGCGGAATAATAAGAAAAAGAACGGAGGTCAGAAAAATAAAGAGTAGTAGAATCTGTACTGGCGTTTGATGGCTTTTCACTCAGCAATTTCTCATACGGGGATATTGCTCCCGTTTCTGACTACCGTTTTGTTTATTCTCCTTCCCCACAACACATTTGGAGTACCGCGATCGCATCGTTAGTCGTAAATTACGATTACGATACATTATTATTATTGCTCATTTACAAATATTTTTCAAACGATGATAACACCCAGAGAACGATTTAGTTGATACGACTAAATCAGGGTTGTAAGAAACAAAATTCAGTACCTAAAACCGACTAAAGTTTAGTAACCCCATTTTTAACTAAATATGGTCACACCAATCAAATTAAGTCAGCTAGACTAAATTAATTCATCGCCACTAATAAATTTTGGGCTCTAGAGCTACAATTTCGTTGGTTTTGAATTTGGTTCTCTGGGCTAAACGGTCTTCTGGGTGAAGTTTTCAAATCATCACGATCAGCCAATAGGTACGCCGTTTGACAGGTTATTCCATCAACAAACAAATGCAGAAGGCACCAGCCGCTGGCAAATATTCCGTCGACTTCTGGGTGTTAAAATACTATGCTACCACAACCACAAGTCAGTCCGTCTCCTCTAGCGCGCCCGGCGCGGTGCAGTGCCGGTTCGCCTCTCAAATATTTATCGCTCCAGCTCGATTAATCAACTCGCAATAAATTTGATTTGGAAAGCAATTTGACGACCGGCCGGGCCGTGACGCTGGTGACCGTCCACTATCCCGGTTGCGGTCCTCGCCTCGCCTCGTCGTGCCGTTTAGGAAACGCTTTGCGTCGCTTCAGAAAAAATACTAGTTTTATTAAAGGGGAAAAATCAAGTAGAAAACGAATTTAGAGGAGAAGAGTTGAACCAGACAGTGCAAAAATCGCCCCCAGATTTCCAGATTTCTCTGCGGCCTTCTTCGGTCTTAGACTTTGTGGCGCCCCCTTCTCCCCCTCCTTACCTCCACTGATAGGTCCGAGGTGCAGTCAAGGAGAAGGGAGCCCAGCTGATCAAACCTCCGAAAGGGAATAGTAGTGCAGACCACATGCCTGGCTCCCCCTCCCCCACTCACCTTCCCCCCGGCCTCGGCGGCTCCACGGTGTCTGAAAAGGACCAGGGCAATCCCAGGTCAACTTACTCTCAGGTGAGTGGGCTCCTTGTATGCAGCCCGCCGACATCCCACGCGTTTTAAAAGTATCCAGTCGTTTGTTGAATTTTGATTGAAGGAAAGTACACTCTAAATGACCAGGGTCTTGTCCAGCCAAAGATGCAAATTTTTCGGATTTAATAACTGCATCCTGCAACATGCGCTCAGAGATGCATCTTGCAAAGGACAAAAAATAATTTGGATTAACACTTTTAAATTTGGCGGTTTTCTTAACAGCCGGACATGTATGTGCGGTATTTGGGGAGAGAACTTGTATCTTTCCACCCCCGGAATACAGGGGGGGTGATTTGCACCATCCTTTTCTTCTGGCTACTGTATCGTAGGCTGGATGCAGGCCTGCAGGCTTGCTTGCCAAATACCTAATACTGGGGTTTACTCTGGCGCCTATGGTGCCGTAGTATGCAACACGCCTGCATACCTTCTGGATCAAGGACTCTGTAACCAGAAAAACAAGCAGGCCCGCCCTTCCGCCAAACGGAGTTGCCAGCTCCGCTTCGCTCCACCGGCAACTCCGTTCGGCAGGGGCCGGGCCTGCTTGGCCTGCCGGCGGCGATGGTCGGGCCTCCGGCCCGACCATTTCAGTCTCGCGATTTACTGAAGTGCATAATCAAATAAATAATGTGACCGGTAAATCACTTGGCATATTTGAGTAAACTAAAGCGTCCGGCGAGGGGCCTGCGGCCCTAGAAATTTTCCCCCTGGACATGACAAGAGACTGTAACGGGGCAACACCGTGACTACACCCCACCCTTCTGCTTTGCTTAAAAATAAAAAAGGTGAACCCGCGCAGTTTTTAGATTGTACATTGTTTGTCAAACAGTCTTAAAACTTGACTTTCTGCTATTGTTTTCAATATATCTACCTCTAGGTCCGAAACAGTAAAAGATACGGCAAATCCGAGGGTAATTTCAGATGCAGAATGTGTTGTTTTGGGGGGGTACTTCCTCTGACATTTTACGATTGGACGCCTCCTTGTACGTCTTTATAAGCAACGCGGTCATTTTCGCCGTATTTCGTCGAAATAAGCACTCTAGCGCCCAAACGGTGCAAGATAGGGTCAAACGGACGAAATTTTCGCCCAAAGGGCTCTACTTTCACGAGTTACCCCTTAGGAGACCATAAAAAAATATTTGATTTTCTACTTTTTGGACCAACCCCTATTTCTTTGTTACCCCCTTTCACCCCCTTAGGGGTGGTTGCCAGGATTTGCACCAGGCGTTTCGTTGTCCAGGAGTGACCCCTAAGATACCCTGAAATTTGCAGACCTCTAGCTCATCTCCTTCCTCTTACACGGACGACGGACAGACGGACGGACGGACGGACGGACGGACGGACGGACACGAGAGCGGTTGCATAAGCCCGCTTTAATGCTTTTTTAAAAGCAGAAGGGCGGGCTAAAAAGGACGACGCAGTTCACCCACCCTGTCTATCCGATCCTAAGAAGGCGAATTATTTTTAGCAGGGTTGGTCTGGTCCCGAGCTCGATACACCGTGTTTCATTTCTTTCTCATTCGTTTTCTTCCCCTCCAGTTATACTGACTGAGCTGGGCCCCGTACGGTGCAAACGGTGCATTGTCCCGCCCCCGTTCTGTTAAAAATCTTTTACGAAACCAACGGGGAAACAACTCATCACAAAAAAAAATAAAAAATGAAAATGACGAAAGCTGAATAAAACGGTATACGAGACGTAGAATCGAGCACATCACCAGGCGGTGGTGCTGGCCGGGCCTGCTGCACACAGCCAGGTACAACCAAAGACATCACCACCCACCGATCACTCCTCTGGAATGTAATTTTCTGAATTTGGGGGGCCAACACTGCTGACAGCGCCCAGGAATTGAGTCAGCCGTTTGAATGGGACGTATGAATGAAGCGCGGGGCGTGGCGGGGCGTGGCGGGGCGTGGCGTGGTGCAGACAACCTCGTTAGCACCTGCGGTGTGGCCGTGTGGCCTGTCCGTCACCGATACGGACACCACACCACGCCTGGCTAGCAGCAGCAGCCCCAACTCGAGACGGTTTCGGGTTGACCCCACATGGTCGCCTCTTTCCTTTCCTAGAACAAGACCACCCCTCTAGAAGCGGCGGCGCTGCGTCCAACAAAGGCGATCTACTCGCGCAATGTGGAACAGCTTGCATGCGATTACCCCGCCAAATCAAAGGGATGTCGCTCGAGTGACACATGATTCGGGAAACCTCAGCGAGATACCAGCCCTCCCCCCCCCCCCCCTCCCTCCCCAGAGGCCGCGCGCGCAGGGAGGAACCTAATGAAATATCAATTATCATATTGGTTACCCCGCATTGTAATCTTACACAAAAGGGGAGGCAGGCTGTCCGAGGGGAACGGTGCAGCCTCCGCGCCCCGCCCCGCCACGCCCCGGCCCACCCCCACAACAAACCTATCCCGGCCCACGCCACGCCCCGCCACGCCCCGCTGCCACAATGTTGCTATTCATGTCAAAGCAATGACGGCGACTACACCATTTCTGTGATTGCGAAGCCCGACGGGCCGGATTATTACATTGCCAGTCCCGGACTGAGATCAATTTCCGGGATGACGATCACAACAACGACCTTAGAGATCCGGAACAGCGGTGCGCTTGTGACTACCCCTTCTCCGAAATTTTCTTTCGATCCAAACGATTCGGGTTTTCAGAGAATTTCAAGATTTTGCAAAGTATTTTAGAATATTTTACAATAAGACAAACCCAACATCATACATAACCTACACAAGGAAGAGTGTACTTGAAACACACACAAAGAAGTGTGTGCTTACCCTTCATGGGCGATACGAAAAATTTCACTCACGCATGCTTGTTCATACTTGCTCTTTTGTGTGTGACATGTTTGTCTGCCACGCACACGTTTGTGATTAATTTTGAAAGTGTTTTGCGTTCATGTGCGCCACTACACACCTGTCAGCGTGTTGCACTGCAGCAGACTGCGCGGCGCTGGCCCCCGGCTGGCCTCCCGAGAGACTCGACCACAATGGAACCTATTACGGCGAGTAATCAGGGGGAAAAGTGGCGCGCGGCCGGACCTGCGGAGCCTGCGGACTGTATTCTGTTACTCTTGCATATTTCATCCGTGCGGACGCATCGTTTCTATACGTAGTACGTCCACTGTACACTTTTTACTAGAAAATTTGCCTAAGGAACTAACTAGAGTTTGGTGCTGTTGTATATCATCAAGAAATTGTTGAGCATTACTCACATTTTGCCTAGAATTACTAAACGTTTTCTTATAGAATTTGAATTACGGTAAGTTACTAGAAAAATGTTTAGTCAGTGATACTTGAAAGAAGTTGAGTAATACTAAATAATGCCTTGATAATATATACAACAGCACAAATCCTAAGTATAGCTAGTAGGCAAATGTTAGAGTACACTCTCATTGAATTCCCTTTGAGCCTTCACAAAACAAAAAGGTCAAATATATAGAGTAACCGCCGCCGTGGGTCATTTTATCTTTTTCGTCGAGATATTTTACTTTTTCTTAGTTATGGATTCGATCTCCCCCCCCGCACATACGCCCCTCCGCGTTAATCCGCCGGCCCACAAAAGCATAGGTCGCAATGGGCCGTCCAACTCATTATCGAGCGCGCCCCGTCGCACCCCCGGCCAATCGTGTTGTGTTGTGCAACTCCTTTTGTGCCGCTGGTTGTCACGCCGTCATCTCCCCGCGTCACAGCAGCGTCTTCTCTTCTGCTGCACCAGGATAAACGTTTATAGCTCACATGGAGTCTGCGCCATTTAAATCCCTCCATAAAATAATCGAAACGTGCGACAAACTTTCAACATTATTTCTGTCATTATTATTAGGGTAAAGAGAAAAGCTCACAAGTTTGCTACAATTGAGTCAGATTTTAACAATTGATTCGTCATAAGAATACTACTGCACGACATCATAAAGTGACAAAGTTTGGTTTCGCAAATACCTCTTAAGACTAGCTTGGGAAAATTTCTTTGGGCACTCTTTCTCTCGCCGGTCTTAGGTGTGTCTTCAGAATGCCAAGCTAATTCTTGCACACCGTGTACTAAAGTGGTTTCTCTCCGGTGTGGATTTGTGAATGTCTCTGCAGATGACCACGACGAGAAAATGGCTTGTTGCACACCATGCACTCAAATGGTTTCTCTCCGGTGTGGGTTCGTAGATGCATACGCATATGGGCATCCTGGGAGAACATCCTGTGGCATACCGTGCATTCAAATGGTTTCTCTCGAGTGTGGGTTCGTAAATGTGTCTGTAGATTACCACGCTGAGAAAATAGCTTGTTGCACACCGTGCACTCAAATGGTTTCTCTTCGGTGTGGATTCGTAGATGCGTGCGCAGATGGGCATCCTGGGAGAACATTTTGTGGCACACACTGCACTCAAATGGCTTCTCTCCGGTATGAGTTCGTAGATGGGTGCGCAGAACACTACTGCTGGGGAACATCCTGTGGCACACAGTGCACTCAAATGATCTTTCTCCGGTGTGGATTCGTAAATGAATCTGCAGATTACCACGGTGCGAAAAGAGCTTGTTGCACACCGTGCACTTAAATGGTTTCTCTCCGGTGTGGGTTCGTAGATGATTGCGCAGATTGGCATCCTGGGAGAACATTTTGTGGCACACACTGCACTCAAATGGCTTCTCTCCGGTATGAGTTCGTAGATGGGTGCGCAGAGCACTACTGCTGGGGAATATCCTGTGGCACACAGTGCACTCAAATGATCTCTCTCCGGTGTGGATTCCTAGGTGGGTGCGCAGATTGCAAGCGTGGGAGAACACCTTTTGGCACACCGTGCACTCGAATGGTTTCTCTCCGGTGTGGATTCGTAAATGTGTCTGCAGATTACCACGTTGAGAAAATAGCTTGTTGCACACCGTGCACTCAAATCGTCTTTCTCCGGTGTGGATTCGCATATGCAACCGCAGAGGACCAGATTTAAGAAACTGTTTGTGGCAGACGGTGCACTTGAATTCTGCCATGGCGAAGTTTATTCCTGAAACATGAGAGGGAACAAAGAATACATTAGACATATTTTATACGTAAGATTAATATTTGAAGGTGGAGGTGGGTAGGGTGGACACTTCGTGGCGTGTTGCGCAGACTGCGGGAAACAACTCAATCCCCCCTCCTAAGTCGTCGTGGACTGGACAGTGGACACGGCGAGAAGGAGAACGACCCCCTGCCCTCCTTTTTTCACTCACACATAGCAGCAGAGGGGGAGCCAGTCGTTAATTTGCACGCCAATATTTGATATTTCTGCTGCCGTCCACAAACACACTGTCTGGCCGGCTCGCCCTGCTCAGCTATCTGTGCGGGTCGTTGTCACCTCGTGTGTCGCTATTTATTGTGTGTGTGTGTGTGTGTGTGTGAGTGTGTGTGTGTGTGTGTGTGTGTGTGTGTGTGTGTGTGTGTGTGTGGTGCTGACGTTCTGTGATATTGTGACGGGTCGCGTACCATTGTGAGGGAAGGTGTGGACAGGCCGTCAGCAGAGGGCTGCTGCTTCCGGCGTACAAGAGGGAGAGAGAGAGAGAGAGAGAGAGAGAGAGAGGGGGGGGGGGTAGATGACGCATCTTTCCACCCCTGAAATCAATCTATCTGTCCATCTGTCCATGTGTGCTTCTAGGTGCGGGCCCGAGGGCGAGCTGCTGGGGTTCGGGGGCTCGTGCGGCGCGGGCCCGCCGCCCATGGCCGCCTACCTCAAGTCGCCGCCCTACGTCGGCCTGTCCATGGGCGCCGCCATGGACTCGCTGCACCACAGCCCCATGGGCTTCTCGTCGGGCTCGCTGCTGGGCGCCGCCAACGCGCGCAAGCAGCGCCGCGAGCGCACCACCTTCACGCGCGCCCAGCTCGACGTGCTCGAGTCGCTGTTCGGCAAGACGCGCTACCCGGACATCTTCATGCGAGAGGAGGTGGCGCTCAAGATCAACCTGCCCGAGTCCAGGGTGCAGGTGAGTGGAGCAGAGAGAGAAAGAGAGGGGGGAGAGAGAGGGAGAAAGGAGAGATGAGAGGATAGAGTTGGGGTGAGGGGGAGAAATGGAGAGGAAAGGGGGAGAGGAAAGGAGGGAGAGCAGAGAGGGAGAGCAGAGAGGGAGAGCAGAGAGGGAGAGGAGAGAGAAAGGAGAAAGGGAGAGGATAGATGGAGGGGAGAGAGTGTCAGGAGAGGGTGGTAGGAGAGAGAGGAAGAGGGGGGGGGGAGAAGAGAGATAGAGAGAGAGATCGCGGACTGCCCAGCCCAGCCCCGCGCGCGTCCGGGGGCGTTTATGATATTGTTATTGTTTCTCCTCCCTCGCTTTTTACGACACGTGCGGGCGCGAATTGCGGCGCCGCGGCGGAGGCTGTTGTCTGATGATTATTATGGTAATCTCGCGCTCATTATCATAATCGTAATCACCTCAGCTCGCCCCTCAATTAATTATCGGAGCCGCGGAGCCCCGTTGTTTTCTTATCGGCAGGCCAAGTTCTGTAAAACGCTTTTTACTTTTTCCTAGGTTAGGTTACGTTAGGTGACGTACGTGCACGATCGATAATTCATTCCCCGCCCTACATAACGATACGTCTCCATATACGATGTTCGACGATAAAGGCTCCCCAGTATATGGCAAATATGACACCGCTGAGCGCGGAGTTTGCCTCTTTGTGGAGACTGCGCCGATGACAGGAGCATTGGGGGTTGTAAACAGTGACCACGCCCGGGGGAGTTGCATTGTGCGCACCGCGCGGCAGCCTCTGGCGGCAGCGGAGGGGCAAACGGCACCGCGGAGCAAGACAACTACTGGAGGAACCAACAAAAATAACTTTCAGTCTTCACTGAAAAAAATATAAATGTCAGGATGATGACAATACCATGGCCAATATTTAGTACATGGATGTCGTCATGGATTCTTGTCACATGACAAGAAACCCCTCTTGATGTGGCGAAAAAACCCATGACGACGCCCCTGTACTAAAAATTGGCCATAGTATTATCGCGTCATCGTGAAAGAAACAATTTACATTGTTTCTCTAATGTTATTTTTCACAGTGTCGTCGGGGACAGATTGATACCCACAGCAATTTCTCATATCACTCCTTCCCGCAGACCGTTGGGGAGGAGGAACGGTAGCGCGCCGGGGGGACACTGACTTTGTTTATTTTAGAAGCGCAAACAGGGGTGCGTCACCCCTTGTCCCGGCCGCGCCCCGCCACGCCCCGCCACGCCCCGCACATCAGCTGGCAGGAAGTGACACTTTAGCGCGGTTTCAAGCGAATGGGCCGCCAATTACATTTGATCAGCGAGCACAAAGCTTAGCGCAGCGCTGAATCAGCACTGCTTTTTTTTAAATTTTAAAGTAAAGAATGAGCCAAAAAATTCAAGTCGGAATAAGACTCCATTAGAGTCACTAATAGTTTTAATTATTTAGAATAAAAGCGCTTTTTAAAAGTTAAGTATACATTTTTTCCTACCGAAGCGGAATCGAGTAACTTGATTGATGAGCTTACTGCCATGTAATAAGAAATACAAGCGGAGAAAGGGTCGGCTTGTTTTCCGCAGTGTACCGGCGTGCGTGCGAGCGCATACTGAGACCCCATTGGCCAGGCATGGAGTCATTGTAGCGAGGCCAAAAGTCATTCTTCTTTTCTCTCCTTTTCTCCACCCAAGCACACCCTCTTTTTATGCGCTCCCCTTCTCTCTCTCTCTCTCTCTCTCTCTCTCTCTCTCTCTCTCTCTCTCTCTCTCTCTCCTATCTTTTAGTATCGCTGCTTTTCCCTCCCTACACTCCCCCGAGTTGCACCCGTTTTCTAGAGCAACAAAATAGAAGTAGCATCAACTGTTGTTGTGCGTCGCGAGTTCAAAGAACAATCCCCGAGACAGCTGCGCCCTAAAGCCATGCAGCGGCAGCGTCTGTCTGTCTATCTATCCGTCTGTCTGTCTGTCTGTCCGACTGCCCGCCTGTCTACGCCGCGCACTCATCCCTTCTCTCTGTTGTTCGCTAATGAGGTCCCCCCCCCCCCACTTCCCCACCCGGTTCCTCCCCTTGCTACATCTCTTGAGGATTTGCCTGCTCTTGTACCTCTCGCAGTACTATCGGAACTTGCTCCCGCTCCATCCCCCCTCTCACCCCTCCCCTCTCCCTCTCCTCTCTCTACCTCTCACCAGTTCCCACTTCCTCCAGCCCTCCCGCCCCATCCACTACACCGCTTTCGAATATCGACCTGGGTCCACTCGGACCTGCGAGAGGGGGGAGCAAAGCATTGAAGCAGACGACATTGGTGAAAACAAAAACAAAAAAAATGTACCCCGCACGGATGTGCTCTGTGTGGGCGCGAAAACAAGAAAATGTGTTCTTACGCGGTTCTAGTCGTACTATTGCCATTTCCTTGCAGCACGCTGTACTGCACGCCGACGGATTCTCAACAACTTGTTCCCGACTCCATTTTACCACTTTTCAAGCCCCCCCCCCCTTGCCCCCTCCCTTCTCGCGGGGAAAAGTTTGGAGCGCCAAAGCGGTGGAGCAAAAAGTTTTCCTGAAGTCCGCCCCCGGGGGAACCAAGAGAAGTCTCCCGCCAACATGGTGGAGTCGTGTGCGAGGGACAGGGACAGGGCGTGGCGTGGCAGGGAAGGGCATTCTACGCGGGCAGCTGGTTTGTTGTTTTCTGAAGGAGCCACTGATGGTGCCCCCTTTTATATCCAAATTTCATGATTCCTGGAGCGACATCAATGTAAATCGCTCGTTTATCGTCGTTTATAGTATAGTAGTTTTGGCGACATATATAACGTACTGATTCCGAAATTATTCCTGATATATAAAGAAATTCGCAACATGAACAGCACATTCGTCTTATGGCGAGTGGGTTTCAGTCGATTTATCCAATTTTCCATTCGATCATAATAACCCATGAACTATAAAATAAGGACAGCCCCTTGTCCGAGAAATATCCTGGAGGATTACCGGCCACTTAACAAATCTCAGTTTGGAAATAAGTCAACTAATTCGGTTCTTCGGCTTTAAAGACTATTTAATAGTAAGACTCGTGTATTAATTCGTTTTTGCGAACATGGCTCGGGCAGAGAGAAGGAAAACGAAACAGCTCGGCCCTCCTGCGAATGAAAAGAATCCCTCATTAGAGCGGGCTGGCGGGGACTTCCCCCCGTGCGTCCTCACCGCAGCAAGAGGCAGCCGGGCGCCATTTCCGAGACGGAAGGGCGGATGCTGGGCCCAACGCCACCCACCAGCCGCCCCCCGGTAGTCAGACGAGCTCGCAACCTGGGGCGGGCGGGAGTGCAATAGGAGCGAGGGGGTGGGGGCAGAATTCTATCCGCGTCGGGTCAACTGCTCGGCGTTTCGGCCGCAAGCCCGCCCGGTGGGAAAGGGGGGCGGGGAGGATCAATAGGCTGGCTTGTGATGGACGACTACCCCCCTCTCGACATCATCCCTAACCCCCTCTCTGCGTACGCCCTGTGGGCGCACCTTGCAGGATCATAGTTGTAAGCCCAGTTATCTGGCGTGCTCCTGCCGGCTGGGGCAAACTATGTGCCATATTATCAAGGCCCGCACGCAGTGCAGAAGTGCCTGCTTCTTTTTATTTTTTCGAGCAGCGTGCACACGCGCTCCACGGGCAGGGTAGGGGGGTGGGGGAGGGGGTCATCGCGTTGCAGTCATACGATACGCCGCACTGCTCGGTCCGGCTTCTTGTTTTAAAGGGGGGAGCCGAGGTCATCAACCTGGACGCGTCGCTAGAACGTGGCTAGAATGTCAACTCTTTTATATCTAACCAGCTGCTCTAGGGAGGGTTTACAACAAACAGTGCACTTGTCATAACACGTCAAACCAAATACGGTCAAAAAATGAAAGGGTGTATTCAATGAATGTGGCTTCACTTGATTTATAGTATTTTTTTCGTTAAAAACCCAAATTTTACGTTAGGTATTAAATTAAACAGAAAATACCTATGGATCGAAACAGGAGAACGAGAGAGTACAGGGCAAGGCTCGTGCGCGTTCGAGGCTCGATCACGACTTCAGCGCACCCTGGGCGGCTATACCCCCCGCCCTCAGCGAAGGCGCCCCAGCCCGTCGTTACCCCTCGCCCACCAGCGCGGAGTATAGTGCGGACCGCTACACAGTGCCCCCCGACCCAGGCCGCCATGCTGCTTTACAGACTCGTTCTTGTGCTCCAGGTCTGGTTCAAGAACCGTCGCGCCAAGTGTCGGCAGCAGCAGAAGCAGCATCAGCACAGTGGCGGGGACTCGAAGCGGTCGTCGTCGTCCTCGGTCGGCGGCGGCGCCTCCAAGAAGACGCCCTCGTCGTCGACGCCGTCCTCGCACCCGCTGACCAGCGGTGGCGGTGGCGGCCTCCCCGGCGCGCTCCCGGGGTCGACGGGCTGCAAGCCGAGTCTGAACGGGACGACCTCCGTGTCCTCGACGGGCCAGAGGGACTCGCCATACCTCAAGCCCATCATCGGGAACAGGTGAGCGCCGGGGACGTAGGCAGCCGGCTGCCCCGCGCGTAGGGTGGGGTGCCTAACACCCAGGCTGACCGCCCGCCTCTCTGCTCCAGCAGCCCCAACCCGCCGACCATCAACTCGCCCTACGGAGCCTCGTCCATCTGGAGTCCAGCGGCCATCGACGGGTGTCTGGAGTCTAGAAACTACCCTCCGACCAGCGTGCCTGCGCCGCCCGTGCCGCCCCCGGGCTCAGCGGCGTCCGGGACGGGGGGCGGCGCGGGGGCCGGCAGCACCCCCGGCGGCGGCGGGGGTACCGGCGGCGGGGGCCAACCTTCCTGGGGGCAGGGGTACTACTATTCAAATATGGATTACCTGGGCCCGGGTGCTGCACAGCTCAACGTTGTACAGGTCAAATTGCAAATGAAAACTTAACTTCATTGTTACTCTTTGAGTTGTTTGTTATGAGTACAATTTAACTCAATTACACTGACTTATCTAACAAAAACTTTGTGATTTTTTCAGGACAACAATTTGGATTCTGTTTGGCCAAAGCGTGAGGATCCAACATGGTTCTACAACTCAAGCAGCTGGGAGAGAAAGTAAAGTCAAATTTTTTTTTAAATTATTAGTAAGATACAGTGAAATGAGGTCTCTTTTAATCTTTCGAAGTGGAGGCTAAACCTCAGTTACCCCATGATAGTCACAGGAAGGCTAATATGTCTCTCATCTTAAGTAATGAAGAATGCACAAAAATAAAACAAAATACCTTATTCAGATTGTGAAAACAATAACGTAATAATGATTGCTGTTACCGTTTGTCACAAATGGCTTCTGATTTGTTCAAAAATGTAAAGTATAATGCAAGAATTTGACTTAGATCATACATGCATTATGACAATATCATATCCGCTCATTTTTGTGATTACCAAGTTAAACTTCAGGTCTAACTATTCTATCAACTCATCTTCTTTCAGCCATCAATCATTGTTTCGTTGCTGTGTTTCCTTTGGCCTAGTCAATTTTGACTCTATATGTCACTGTCTACATTTCCAAACTTACCAACAGTGTGAGAAAAACTAGATAAGCAAAGTCATGTAGTATGTACATTTAAGTTGATGCTCCGTTATTTTGCCTTTGGAGGGACATGTAAGCTGATAGTCATTCAATTTCTCGGAACACAAGATGACATATTTGTCATTTTGTATCACATATCTGTTGGTTCTTCGTTCTAGCATAGATACATTTAAAACTAAGATTATGTAAATATTTATCACATAAATTATTTTCAGACATTTCAACACAAGTTTTACAATGTGATTTTACCTTGTAAGAGGCAATTTTTGTAAAGGGACGTATCACACAATTAGACATTATATTGGTAGGTAAGTTTGCTTCTCATTAAATATAACTTGTTAAATTGCCATATTTGTTCTGTTCTTCAGATGTTTTTTTCAAAATGTTTAAAATCGTAAAACTATGTACCCGGGATAAAATGTTAACTGAGGCAGGGCTGAGGTCACATTGCTGTTACCTGGGTACATCTGAGTAAAAACGCGATTAGCTCGCAATTGCTGATTCAGCCATATTCAGCTCTAAAAATGCTGAGCTGGGGACCATTCCGAGCTAACAATTAAGTGATGACTTTGTGCACATGTTTTCAGTATTTGCCAGCATCGAATACAGGAGCTGAGATTTGGTGACAATAACTGACGTAGCCATTACCGCGTACTTTAGCTATACTCAGGCTTTGACATCTACCTGAATCTAACTGACAACACGCTCTCAGTATTTGTCACTTATTCTCGGCCCGCTGCCCACTACTGACGAATACCGATAACACGCCCAGACATTCGTCAGCTAATTGTCAGATGAAAACACTCTTCGGCTCAGTTAAACGAAGAGCTGAAAATTACTGGAAAAAGCAGAATCAGCAAATCTCGGCAATGTGTGCGTCGACTCAGCTTTGGTCGCGAATCGGCTTCGTCTCTTCAGTTATCGAATCGAGAGAATATTGTACCTGAGGCAGAGCGCGACCAAAGCTGAGTCGACGCACACATTGCCGAGATTTGCTGATTCTGCTTTTTCCAGTAATTTTCAGCTCTTCGTTTAACTGAGCCGAAGAGTGTTTTCATCTGACAATTAGCTGAAGAATGTCTGGACGTGTTATCGGTATTCGTCAGTAGTGGGCAGCGGACCGAGAATAAGTGACAAATACTGAGAGCGTGTTGTCAGTTAGATTCAGGTAGATGTCAAAGCCTGAGTATAGCTAAAGTACGCGGTAATGGCTACGTCAGTTATTGTCACCAAATCTCAGCTCCTGTATTCGATGCTGGCAAATACTGAAAACATGTGCACAAAGTCATCACTTAATTGTTAGCTCGGAATGGTCCCCAGCTCAGCATTTTTAGAGCTGAATATGGCTGAATCAGCAATTGCGAGCTAATCGCGTTTTTACTCAGATGTACCCAGGTAACAGCAATGTGACCTCAGCCCTGCCTCAGTTAACATTTTATCCCGGGTATGGCCAGAACATATTTGTTGTAGATATATATTGTATTGGTCTTATTATTATAAAAATGTACTGTTTTCTCGTTGGTTAACGTTGAACAAATATGCTGAGTTCTGACACAATTCACTTACCTGAAGGACGTGATGGAGACACGACAGACACCCGACCTCGCCGCTACTCCATCCACTGTGCAGTGGTACGTGGGATATCGACTGTCACACGGCTGTACCCCTTCCGTTGAATCGGACGGTCACGCAAGTCCTGAGGATAGTGGAGGTTTACAGCTAATCTACAGAAAATACCGATTTCAGAACAACAATAGAACCTGCGGGTTCAAGTAAGTTTGTTTGTGCGCGACTCGCGACTCACTCGTCAACGTCAACCAGCGACACTAGAGCGCCTGGCGGTCACCTCGGAAGGCATTGCTCACAACACACGAAAGCAAACAGACAATCACAGCGACGACCCCGAGAACAACCGCACTGAACTGGATCATCTATTTCCCTCTTGAAGCTGAAGGTGAGTGATTTCGTGCCAATTCCATTTCCTCACGTTCGGCGCCGCCACCCTCCTCCTCTGAAACTGTTATCGGCTGTGCAATGTCAGCTACACAAGTAGTGTGGTCGTCACCCAATTGCGCCCATTAACGGGTTTAGGAGGTTAGGAGGGGGGCAACGGCCAACAAGGGTCGTGTGAGCGTGCGTGCTTGAGCCAGTCACGGTGGGTGTAAACCTCATTCGGGCCCTTGAATGCGCGCCGCTTGTTGGGGCCACCCTCCCTACGGCCCTACGGGGCTGCGGGGGCGGCGGCAGTGTTGGGGCTGGGCCCGCTGGGCCCCGGGGGGCTAGTTCTGCGCTCGCCGGGTACAGTGCCCGGCCAATGCTCTATTGTCGGGAGATGCATCTGCGATGTCGGGGTGCGGGACGTGGGGCGCAGGCAGGCGCACCATTAGCCCTCTCGCCCCCGACGCCCCACGGCTGGGGCCACGCCGCGCATACCTCGGACCCACCCCCCGGGCCCCGGCAGGACCCCGGCCCTTCCCATTGAAACCCGCCCCAGGCCCCTCCTGTCGCATCCCATTCATATCGCTATTCATATTGCAAGTGATTAATAATTGTGCAGCTAAATACGCCCATGCACGGAATGCGGCGGTGGGGGAGCGGGTCGCCCCGCAGCAGCTCCCGGCCTGGGGCTGGGGTGTGTAGCGTGCGAGCGCGCCGCGGCGGCCGCCAGCGTCACGGCACGGCGGCAGATTTAAAACTGGCGCTCATTCCGGCCAATTAAAGTGAAACATATTACAGCAATCAGGGCAATAAGCCTTTCGCTCACAGCTCTTGGTGGCGTGCGCGGGGTAGCGCCTCTGCGGCGCGCGGTCGGGGGTAGCGCCGAGCTTCGAACCCCCCCCC